TCCTGAAGGGATACGTCTCTCTGGTGGCAATGGCTGTGCCACCTTCCCTTTAATGGTCATGGGCTCCTATAATACCATCTCACCATGTTGGCTGACTCCTATTGGGTGGTATTTGCAGCTACAGTCATGGAAAGTGCATTTATGTTAAACCCCTCATCAGCCTGAATCCTTAAAAAACCCATTTCTCCAAGGAAAGGAAGGGAAGAATGTGAAATTAAAGCTACTAAATCAGATATGCACATGTACAATTAGGAAGTTCATCCTCAAACTTGATAGAAAAAGTCTGCAGTGTAAAATGGTCCATTATTTACATATAATACTTGGGTAAACATTATGAGAACTAACACCCACTGAGTAATCCCTGAGCAAAATTTGTTATTGATGATAGATGGACAGGTGTCAGGTGGATCCGACACACTGGGATTAACCAAACACTATACATTTGGGCTCCTTTCTGGAAACCTTTTGGTGATGGATAGGAGAAGAGCCATTGTTCATTCATTCATTCCAAAATAAATTTAGAAAAGAAGAGTCACAAGCATACAGCTCCAAAACCCAACCATATCATAGATTCTGGGTCTCTTTGTACTCCTAGGAAAACAAAATGAACTTAAAAACTAAACTAATTAATCAACCCAGGAACTAACTCTTAAAAAGGCCTAATGTGCCTTTATACCTTTAATAAAGAGAGTAAATAGCCACTTAAAGGACAATAGCTACAAGCAAATTCTCAACAGAAACTTAAAATTTAAATTAAACAAAAACTGGAAGAACTGCGGATGCTGGAAATCAGAAACAAAAACAGAAATTGCTCAGCAGGTCTAAGAGCATCTGTGGAGAGAAATCAGAGCTAATGACTCAGATCCAGTGAACCTTCCTCAGAACTGATGGTAGATAGGAAATTGAATCAGAGATAGTAGGAACTGCAGATGCTGGAGAATCTGAGACAACAAGGTGCAGGGCTGGATGAACACAGCAGGCCAAGCAGCATCATAGGAGCAGAGAGGCTGACGTTTCGGGCCTAGACCCTTCATCAGAAAAGGGGGAGGGGAAGGGGGTTCTGAAATAAATAGGGAGAGAGTGGGAGGCGGATAGAAGAGGGATAGAGGAGAGGATAGGTGGAGAGGAAACAAACAGGTCGAAGAGGCGGGGATGGGGCCAGTAAAGGTGAGTGTAGGTGGGGAGTTAGGAAGGGGATAGGTCAGTCCAGGGAGGACATACAGGTCAAGGGGGCGGGATGAGGTTGGTCGGTAGGAGATGGAGGTGCAGCTTGAGGTGGGAGGAGGGGATAGGTGGGAGGAAGAACAGGTTAGGGAGGCAGGGATGAGCTGGACTGGTTTTGGGATGCTGTAGGGGGAGGGGAGATTTTGAAACTTGTGAAATCCACATTGATACCATTGGGCTGCAGGGTTCCCAAGCGGAATATGAGTTGCTGTTCCTGCAACCTTCGGGTGGCATCGTTGTGGCACTGCAGGAGGCCCAGGATGGACATGTCGTTTGAGGAATGGGAGGGGGAGTTGAAATGGTTCGCGACTGGGAGGTGCAGTTGTTTATTGCGAACCGAGCGTAGGTGTTCTACCTTGGTAGATAGGAAATGTTGATTTATATGCAGAAGATAGGGAGGGAGGGGGTGGGGGGGTGAAGTAAGGAGTAAACAATGGATGGTGATAGAGCCCAAAGAGAGCGGAGGACAGTTGCACAGACAAAGGAATGGCTCATGATTAGGCTTGGAGGATGAATAGCCATTAATGGGGACTGTTAGTGGTTAACAATGGGTTGTATGTAATAGCAGACTATGTGATAACAAGGCCTGGGGTAAGAACATGGAAAAAGCTCAAGCTCTATAGTTGTTGAACTCTATTGAGTTCAAAAGGCTGTAGGGTTCCTAAGCAGAAAACGAGATGCTGCACTGAGCTTCACTGCAGCAAGCCTGAGACAGAGACATTGGCCAGGGAACAAGGTGGTGTGTTGAAGTGGCAGTTTTAAGTTTTACATGGCAGTTTAAATTAAACTTTGAGTCTGGAAATAATGGACTTCACCCACTGGTGTTGGAGGACCTTGAGTGTGCCAGAAGGCAGCATGTGCTCCCTTTCAAGGACCCCCAAGGCATGGGCATAACCATAGAAATGGGACATGCAGTTGGGTATAATAACCACTCTCCATGGCCCGCTGCTTAGATCTGTTTATGGCAGCCTTGGCCAGACCCAGGGACAGGGCCAGGAAGAAATACTCCAAACTACAGAACTTTAATAACTGTCCTTGGATTGAAAGAAGCTGCAATTACTCGTGTGGAATAAACTATTAAAGGACAAGGGCAAACTTACACAGGAATTTAATTAAGCATGTTTGGGAAAAAGAGGAGCCAAGGCTAAATAAACAAAGCTGTTTTAACAACTGCTTGATAACTCTCTGCTTTATGCCACAAGGACAAAATTGTGCCCTGCAGAAGAATTTACGGAGTTAATCACAGGAAGGTTGTGTCTTCAAACGGTCAGTCAATGCTAAACTGAACAAGGAAGCTACTTCTGATAAGAAGGCAAGCTGCAGACTTGTGATATTGTGAATGAAAGAATCTAAAAGATCATCAATAATAATCACACCACAAAGTTGAAAGAGAGAAAACTGTATAAAAATTCTCAGGCTTCCTAAGGAGCAGAACTTTGAAGAGCAAACTTGTACAGTGATTGATACCTCGACAGAGGCAGAACTGTTGGTTGGAATCATGTCAAAATTCCACCACTAATTGGGTAATAGCCAACTTTCGTTGTGAGGCCTAACTTGCTTACTTGTGGGGTCTTACTTTGATTGTTATATGCAATAAACTTTAAGTCATTGTTTCTGAGATTTCTTAATATGTAGCTGAATTAATGGTAGTTGGTAATTTACCTATAGTGGGGCTGAAGTGCACTAAGCAGCAATCCTTTCAAATAATGTAAAAGAAAGGAGGTCGCTACTAGAAACACATGAAACATGTGCTCCTCATAGCTGCAGAAAATGCAGGTGACCTGGGGAGTTGGTGAACCAGACCAAACCTCTACCACACAGGATAGCTGCATGCAACATCTACCACACCAGGTCAGCAATGGTAAAGGGGAAGACTCCCAAATAGAGAGCCTCCTACTTGAGGTTCCTGCCACCTCCATGCAGCAGGATGGATCACTGCAGCATGTCCAGACGGTTAATGAAGGTGATGAAATGCATGGTGTTGCTAGCAGCCTATATGAAAAACCCCCTCTGCACCAAAGTAAAGGGTGGGGGAAGGGATTTCAATGATATGGCTCAAATTATGACGTGCAGGTTCCCAAGGGAGGTCTTTTCTTCAAAATTTTATTCCTTTTCTTTATTCATTAATGGGATGAGGGCATCGCTGACCAGGCAGCATCTATTGCCCATCCCTAATTGCCCAGAGGGCAGTTAAGAGTCAACCACATTGCTGTGGGTCTGGAGTCACACGTAGGCCAGACCAGGTAAAGATGGCAGTTTCCTTCCCTAAAGGACATCAGTGAATCAGATGGGTTCTGGGGCCAATTTGAAAGGCCACCTGAATGATGGTCAGGTCAGACCAGAATTTGCATGCTTGAGCCACCTTGACAGAGTGTCAAGTGCAGAGTGTCTTTTCATTTTCTCCCTACTTTTTGAAAATAGAAATCAATCCGATTAGACATATTGAGGTGGGACTTGAAACCATACATTCTGGCCTAGCGGAAGGGACACTACCATTGTACCACAATATTCTCTGAATCATGTCTCTTTATTGGGGCTCAAGACTTTCTTCTTGTCAAGCTGTTTAGAGTTGTTAGACACACCTCCAGAGCAGGTGGGAATCGAACCTGGGCACCTGGCTTAGAGGTACCCACCACAAGAGGCCTATATGTGCTCAAGTGATATATCAATGAATGTCCACCACCTTTAAACACAATTAATATACAATAAACAATAGACCATCCAAGGCCCCAAAACTCCATCCAATTGAAAGTGATTTATTCTACTTTTTTTCAATCCAATATATTGTTGCTCAGGATTACACTAGGGAGGCCAAATGAAGGCTAGCTGACTGCTTTGCGGAACACCTCCATTCTGACACCAAGTACAGAGCTTCAAATTGTTTGAACCCAGTACCTCACTCAGTCTCTGACCTCTCCGTCCTCGGCCTGTTCCAGTGAAGCTCACTGCAAGCGTCAGGTACAACCGCTCAGGATGGATTCAACATAGCATTCAACAACGTCAGACCCCAACACTGGCCTCAGTTTTATTCTGTGGTCTTTTCAGCTGGTTGGTTTTTTTTCCCCACTTTTTTCTTTATTCTTTTACATTGCATTCAGAAGGCTACTAACCAGTCAGCCTTTCAAGCCTCATCCAGGAACCGTTTTTCTTTACTATCCACAAAACCATTTTTCTCACTTTCCTCACCTAATTCTCCCCTGACTCTCCACACACCCAGTATCCCCTTTTCACTTGGTCAAAATCATTAATTTACTTAGTTCTGACATACAGGTCGCAAGCCTGAAACTTTACAGTTATCCTCAACAGAAGCTACCTGACCTGCTGAGTATTTCCAGCATTTTCTACTCTCATAGAAAGACATGTCTGTGCTTCAAGACCAGGAAAGGTTTGAAAATTATCTTAAGAATCGCAAGAAGAAAAAATGGCAAAAACAGTTGCCACAATGAACTGAAAAAATCTTTTTATCAGAAAAGCTCTGGTATTAAAGCTGGATCAGGTGAATATATTCCTAATGCACAAAATTCCAATTTGGTGAAAAGACATGATGAAGTATAACTTTATCATTGGAATTGCCAAAATAAAATGCCAACTAGACAAGTCAGTGATTTTTGGTGTCTGTAAATTTGATAATGTTCTCTATTAGCAGAAAGCTCATCAGCCAATTTGATAAAAAGGGACTAAGATAATTTTAATGCTTAGAAAGCAATTCTGTAATACATGAAATTGACAATTAAATGATAGCTATTAAAAAAGAATAGATCTAACGAGGTTAGAAAAATTGTAAAATGGAGTTTTACTGTAATAACCTAATAAAACATATCAAATTAATTGATTATATCAAGTAGATTCGCACAAGAAATCTTACTGCTGGAATCATTGGTACACAAGTGATCACAATTTTAAAAACCATTTTCCTTAACTCAACACTAAGTATTCCGACATTCACCATTGCAATCTTTCATGGTGACAATAAATCTGTGAAATTAAAACAAGTTTAAAAAGTGTATAAATCATTTGAGCTACAGAGAGAGCACAATACAAAATATTAAAAAAACAAAAAGCTAAATTTCTGCACTTTGCCCAAGATTAATTTAGTAAGTGTAGAGTTAATTTATAGTAAACACCCGTAGTTTCTGAAAGAAATTCTTAGTAAGCTTCACAGGTATTGCATTGTGTGATTATTCCACTTTGCGGATGTTCTGTCCTTGATATTTAATGTAGACTATGAACATTATTATTCCTGTAATGATGCAGGCACTGCCACACACAAGATAGGCAATCCCTAGGAATGGGTTTCTCCCACCCATCCAGGATATGGTGCTAAAAGTCACTCGTTTCTGTCCGTTGAAACTTAACACTGGATAATCTGAACCTAGAGTTAAGGAGTAACAGAATAAATGACTTCTAGCAATAAAGAGTGAGGCATTACAATAAAACTGTGTTCATTCATCATTCATGTTAGTCATCCATTTACTAAAGCAGGAGTCAGACAGACTGATACAATTTCAGTTTCATTGTTCAATACAACTCCAGTCTGGTATCTGTCCTTCCTAAGCAACTATGCTTACTTGGTCAAACTAGCTTTCCTCTTTCTAAACCTACCACCAAGTCGACCAATCAAACAACTAAATGAGTAACAATTAACAAGCACTGCCTACTAGGGGCAGTGCAACAATAACAAAAAGGCGGGTAGGAAAAGAGGGGTGGGTTAAATCAAAATAGTGTCGGAGGGGGAGATAATGCACAAAAAGACTTTAATATATGCTCTAACGAGTATCAGCTACACTCTAAAATCTCCAAATCATGTCCTAGTTTATTCTTAAAGGGACCATCCTTTACAACATTGTCAGTAGGAAGTGGGTACCACTGGCCCCTCTCCAATTGCGTTTTATATGGTAGTGCCCTTCTTGAATCACTATAGTCTGTAAAGGGGTGGTACAACCACTTGTTCGGTGGGTGGTGCCAGGAGTTTCACCTGGGATCGATGAAGGAACAAGAAAACATGTCCATGTCAGAATAGCGTGTGGGCTCTGAGGGGAAGTCAGAGATGACAGGGAGTGAACTTATTGTAGTCAACTAATTTGATATATTTGTGCTGAAAGTGCTGGCACATCTGCATCTATTGCCCATCTCCAGTTTCCCAAATAGCTAAGTTTCTTTCAACAGCACAAATTAAAAGTCAATCGTGTAATATCAGACTGGAGTCACCATTTAAGCTACCTTACAGGGCTCTTGTGACGCAGTGGTAATCTCTGAGCCAAGAGATCCAGGTTCAAGTCCTGGCTGCTCCAGAGGTGTGTAATAACATCTGTACTGGTTGATTAGGAAAATATCTATAAGATAAATTAGACAGGGATAACAGATTCCAAGTTCTTTTCAAAAATACACAAAAAATTTAACAGTTTCAATTAGTTATAGTTCTCTGGTACCACTCCACAAATTAAAATGAATTTCACAGTTTGTGTCAATGGGTTGGAATCTCAGGATTTTGGTGACTTCAACCTGTTTTCCAAGGAAAATGGCTCCTACAACTTGGATGGAAGTCTGTGCAACATAAAAAAGCATTGAAAGACTGTCAGGCTGATCAATACACATCCTAGATGATGCAACTTTCTCAGCTGACTTACCAGTACTCCCAGACAAACCACAAATGGTTATTTCTAGAAAATGGAAGGTGGGAAAGCTTAATCTCACAACTTTACAATGCTGCTCTTTCCTTATCAGTAGATTTACAGTCTTGTAACACATATCGTGCAGCAGAAAATTCCACTCTCATCAACATCCCCTCCAGCTTCTTGTTGGGAAATGCCTTCCTTCAGTTCACTGGTACAGTCTGGGAAACAAGCACTCTCTGTGGTTCTATCAGTTTTAAAGAGGGTGTTTCTGGCTTTTAATTCCTCACTGAGTAACTTCCACAAATCACCAAGGCTTGAAACCGGGGGATAGAGAACAGAAAGTAAATGGTCAGCTGCTGCAAAGCCTCGTCTGAAGAGTATACAGATTATTGGAGGATGACAAGACTTATTGAAATAAATATAAAATTCTGCAGATGCCGGAAATCTGAAATAGATAGAAAGACCTGGAGAAACTCAGCAGGTCTAGCATCACCTGTGGAAAGAGAAACAGAATTAACATTTCAAATCCAGTATGACACTTCTTCAGAACGGAGACTTACTGGAATACTGGAAAAGACTGAGTTGAATGGGAGTTGGAATTTGATTTTAATGTGTTAAGGAAGAGGACAAAGAGGAGATTGTGTGTGCTTTTTAAAAAAGGGATTGAGGAATATATGGGTTGAAAAGGTTGCAGCACTGGCTGTTCTTTCCTACAAGAGTGGATTCAGGAGGGACTAATTCATTTTGGAGTTTGGGAGGAAGGTCTTAAAGCAAGGAAAATCCATTTTAGAATTAGACAACTGAATAATTGCACAGAACTTACAGCAGCCTTTCCGCCCAACTAATCAATGCTGGGATGTACGCTCTACATCAGCCTCCTCCCAATTTTCTTCAGGCGCCTTGGTTAGCACTGCTGCCTCACAGCACCAGGAGTTCAATTCCACCCGAGGGCGACTGTCTATGTGGAGTTTGCACATTCTCCCCGTGTCTGTGTGGGTTTCCTCCAGGTGCTCCGGTTTCCTCCCACAGTCCAAAGATATGCAGGCTAGGTGGATTGGCCGTGCTAAATTGCCCATAGTTTTCAGGGATGTGTAGATTAGGGGGATGGTTCTAGGTGGGATGGTCTGGGGGTTGGTGTGGACTTGTTGGGCCGAAGGGCCTGTTTCCACACTGTAGGGATTCTGTGCAACCCATCAGCATATTTTTCTTCACCCTGATGTGCAGACTGACATTCCTCTTAAAGCCATGATGTCCAACACGTAGACTGTGATTACTGGTTGATGGCAGAGATTCGAACAGTCAATCTCACAGAGTGCCCACATTCCCATGCTGCGTGCATGCCAATCATCATGTTACTGCATGACCTCTTCTACAATCCACGTGGCTACAGACAAATGTATGTTCTTAACAGGCTTTGCCAGCTTGTTGTGTTGTGTTTCAGTTTGGTCCAGATGGATTTGTTTTACGGTGACAGTGCAAACAAATGAGTAAGAAATATACTCAGAACTGATGCCTGAAGCCAGTACTTTACAGTACTATAAACTAAGGAGGCTGTTCAGCCCATCATGTCCATGTGGAATCTCTGCAATAGCAGCACAGCTAGTCCCATGACTGCAGTTCCAACAACGCTCAAAAAGCCTGACACCATCCAGAACAAAGCAGCCTGCTTGATTTGCACCAAACCCACAAATATTAACTCTCTCCGCTGACATTCACCAGCTGCACTGTGTATCATTTTCAAGACACAGTGCAGAAATTCACCAAGATTCCTTAGACAGTAGCTTTGTGGAAAACGATACATATCCAGTTTAAAGAAAAACAAAAAAAAAAGGGCCAACCCAATTCCCAATCATTTGAAACGGAGTGCCATTTTTCTCTGGACGAGCTTTGAAAGCATTAGAAATTGCTTAAAAAAAATCAGGGAAACGCATGGTGCTGACAATGTCAGCAACTGGTAAGATTGGACTATTTCAATCTTTTCCAATTGAATGTCGCAGTCAAAGGGTTACTTCCTCACCTGAATGAGCAGACAGCCACAATGGTTTTGAAAGCAGAACCCCAATGCACACACGTGGTGCAGTGAAACCACAGAATTAAATAACTCATCTTAAACGTGACTGAGTTCATTTAGTTACTTTCTTGATCATGCTCTCTCCATTTTTCCTACTGAAAAAGTGCAAGGATACGGTAATGTATCTCCACCAAATAGTTTCCTGGCTGCAGCCCATCATCAATACGACGATAGAGTTTGCGAAATGTTGGCAAGGCTGCTGTCCTCATCCAAACAATAAAGTCTTCATTGATGAAGCCATTATTTTCTGGGTTCGTGTCTAGCTCGTATGCTGGCCTGGGCCAGTTGTTAGGTTTTACAGTTCCTGTAATTAAGTGAATTAAGTTCAATGAGAAAAAGGGGAAAGAAAGACGCTTACTTAAAAAGACAGATGAAAGAAATATCATCCAATGTTAGCAAAATGACACTGGTCCTCAGCAAGGTTTCCTCATCCGACCAGTTTAGTTAGTACTGTTTACTGACAATGCATGATGTAACTGTCACTATCTGTATTCTGACATGACTTTATTTGAATAAAATTTTCATTAGAGTGCAAAAAATAGTTTAAGCCCCAGGTTGGAAAGATATACAGAGCTTTACAGGGCCATCTGACATCTCAAATTGTGCTAGAGCTTCGTAATGGAGAAAACAACGGGCCAACTGGTTACGTGGGGATGTGTGGTACCATCCAGAGGGAACAATTAACTGTCGACTGACGTTTCTTCCAGAGGTATTGATACTTCCCTGACATGTTCGGATAACCTTTCGGCTGGATTATACATGGAAAAATTAACAAAACCATCAACACATTTTCAGGTGGATGGTTTGATCATCCTCCTTTTCTTCGTCTAATTTAGGTTCTGAGGGTTTGGTTTAGGAGGGAGAGTGTTAGGATCTCAAAGTCCTTCCCCATTCCATCCCAATCCCACACCCTCCCACCACCCCCAATTGCCCCTCTACCCATCGTCTTGCAGGCAGAATTGGCGAGTGCCAGGATGAGGATCTGAGATGATGCTAGGACTGCCTCCCTACAACTGGCAGGCAGCCAAGTGAACAATGTGAAGGCCTGTTAAGACCTTTCTATCGAGGTCAAGTAGTTCCCTACACACACATACCGCCACCAAGTCAGCCTCCAGATCTCTGTTGTTCTGTTAGGTGTCAGGTGCTCCACCTGAGGCAGCCTCCTGGTGCCAAGACCAGGGAGTCAGTGCTCCAGGCAGACCCAGGGGCCCTCCCTGCCTGTTTGAGTCCAGCTCCTTCACACCAGGCCATCCTGTGGAGGGGCTGTCCACTTCCATAATGGTGGTCTGGCTGCTCTGGAAAGGGCATCTCCATTTTTGAAGCTACCCAATCCTCGTTTCCTTGTATCCTGCTGCTCAATACCAGGGCTTCCTCTGGGCCTTACATCTTTAATTTGAAGGTTAGCCTGCCCTTTGCACACTGATTGGAGAATTTGTGGAGCGGGGGACTATGGGGGAAATCACAAGGGACAGCCTCTCCCATCTTCCGCCTCTCTTTCAGCTTCACGGGAGGGTCAGAGACCCACAGGGGAAAATCCTAATCATGGTGGCCCTTTTGAATGTCCAAACATTTTTGGACACCACCACTAATCTGTCAAACGATTTGACCAAACCAAGATTTAATCAAGACCAGTTGGTCAGCAGAAACACTTAGTGAAAGCAATTAATTCACCTTCAAATGCCTGCTTTAGATCAGTTCCATTGTCTAACTTGGGGTTATTGAATTTGACATTGTAATCAGTCCACCAAGAAATTCCTTTGCTGTTTAGAGGCACCATGGAGACATCATTGTCTACCTTACGCACCACAAAGGAATCTGTAAGAAAGAAATACATTTACAAATTTATTTTCCACTTAGCAAAGGGCAGTTTACATTAGTTACTTAAGTAATGGGGGGTGTGTGTGCTTCTTTTAAGTAATTTACCAGGTGAGGGCATCGCTGGCTAGGCCAGCGTATTTATTGCCCATCCCTAATTGCCCAGAGGGCAGTTAAAAGTCAACTACATCACTAGTTTTTTTTAAAAATTGAATTCAAATTCCACCATCTGCCATGGTGGGATGCGAACCCAGGTCCCCAGAACATTACCTGCGTCTCTGGATTAACAGTTCAGCGATAATACCAGTAGGCCATTGCCTTCCCTGTTAGATTAAATGAGGGGCAGTATCATAAAGGTTTAACTGAATATATTGAACAGATGTCGATCTTTAATGATGTTGCCACACCTTGGAAATGTCTTCAGGTTCACTTGAATACTGATCTAGTCTGCTCTATGTCCTATCTTCCCTCTGTTCCATTACTCTTTGTTCATGTAGTCACAAGATGTAGGCACCAGTGGCTAGTCCAATATTTATTGCTTGTCCTTAATTGCCCAAAGAGGACAATTAAAAGTCAATCATATTGTTGTGGGTCTGGAGTCACATGTAGGCAAGACCAGGTAAGTGCAGCCGTTTCCTTCCCTCAGGGACATCTGCAAACCAGATGGGCTTTTCCAACAATCGACAAGTTTCATAGTCATCATTAGATTCTTAATTCCAGATCTTTACTGAATTCAAATTCCACCATCTGCCATGGCAGGATTTGAACTCAGGTACACAGAGCATTAGCTGAGTCTCTGGATTAATAGTCTATAAATAATACCATAAGGCATTACCTCACCCTGAGGAAGGCAGGACTGATGATCATAACACACAGACTCATGGATTTTCCTCAGACAGCTTTTCATCACTACCCGTCCCCCTTTCGAACCTTAAAATCCTCCTCGAAGAGTCTGCTGCTGACTGTGCTCTCAATCTCCCCTCCTCCTCCCACCCTAACCCGGAAACACTGTTGTATAGATTGCCGCTTATTATAAAACAGCCTGGGTGGAAATAATAAATTAAATATTTTTTCCAATCTGAAATAGCTCAAACAAGTTCTGGTCAAACTTTCATAATTAACCATGCCCACTATCACAAGGTATTAATTCAAACAACAGAGAAATCTGGAGAATTTGCTTTTGAAACAAAGAGGGATTGGAAGAACAGAATATTTTGCCAGAATTAGCGATTAAAGCAGAATCCATAATAACTTTAAGAAAGGAATTAAAGTTTGATATTAAAACAAAAACTAGAAAACAAGAGCAATAAAGTTGTTTCATGGGAGCAGCTGGTTGAATGGCCTCTTCTGTGCTACAAAAATCCTATGATTCTAATTTTTAAATACTTGTTTTCGCTTAAGACTTTACAGAAGTACACAGACACAAAATAATGTGCAGTCTCCTAAATGATATATATATAAAAACCGATGAGGTTGAAAAACATCAACTACATAAAGGACAACAATCACATTTGTGTGTTAATCTTGATTGGACTGTACAGTGAGTGAATCAGAACTCACCATTAAACATGCTGTTTGCAATGGCTCCACATGGAGCAATAGGTCTGTCCTGTCCATCCCAACGAAATGGAAAACAGTATTCAGAAGGTTCCTGCAAAAATATTGAGCGGGGAACAAAAGAACATAGACAGCCAGTTTTGCAGATTTGCATTGTTCTGGTGAGAGATTTATTAAAACTTGTTTATTTTCATTTTTGCTTTTAATGCACCCTGCGAGATACTGAGCTCTTTGAAAAGGGCAATGCACAGGACTTCTGCTTTTAGGTCTCTTGAGCTTTTGCGTAGGGAACACAATTGAGAGCTCACTATTTCTATAACATAATGGGTGCAGTGACAGGGGTAATATGCTCATAGCACAAAATGAACATTAAAGTGGCTCATGAGGAGTTGGAATCCGAAGGTATATCGATTGTTTTCCTACACTGGGTGAAGCTAAAAGAACTAACAAACATGAAAAGAGACTAGAAGTGTACACCGTGTCCCGGACCTATCACTATTTTCTTCAGATTGCTCTCGACAGTCAGGAAACTAGAAAAGTGAAAGCTATTATAGTCTCAGAGAACCATAGACCACTTTTATTAGAGAAAGGTAACTGGTGAAGAGTTTAATCTGAAAGTCTTCATGGTGACTTCAGCTGGTACAGTAACTCAACCCTCACAGTTGGTGTCACTCTGCATCGTGAACCAACTGTCCAGCCAACTGACCTAACTGATCCTCATCATAGAAACCCAGAAATAAACAGAATGGCAATAGAATGGGAAACATCAGCTTTAATAAAGCTGAATGTCATTCTGCCCATCAAGCTTGCCCTTTGATTTGATTTATTATTGCCACATGTACCGAGATATAGTGAAAAGTATTGTTTTGCGTGCTATCCAAGAAAATCATATCTTTAAATAAGTACATCAAGATAATAGAACAGAATGCAGAATATAGTGGTACAGCTACGGAGAAGGTGGAAGACAGTATGATCAGAGTGGCAGGGGTCTTTGATTACGTTGGCTGCTTTCCCAAGGCAATGGAAATATAGATGGAGTCAATGGAAGGAAAGCTGGTTTTTGTGATGGACTGGGCTGCATTCACAACTCTCTGTAGTTTCTGCAGTTGCCATACTAAGCTGTTATGTATCCAGATAGGATGCTTTCTACGGTGCATCTATAAAAATTGTTAAGAGACATTGCGGACATGTCGAATTTCCTTAGTTTCCTGAGGAGGTAAAAGTGTTGGTATGCTTTCTTGACTGTAGCGTCGATGTGGATAGACCAGGTTAGATTGATGGTTATTTGCTCTTAGAAATTTGAAGTTCTCGACCACCTCCACTTCAGCATTACTGATACGGGCAAGGGCGTGTCCTCCACTCTGCTTCGTGAAGTCGATAACTAGCTCCTTTGTTTTGCAGACATTGAGAGAGAGATTGTTGTGTTTACACCATGCCACTAAGCTCTCTATCTCTTTGCTGTATTCTGTCTCATCATTGTTTGAGATCCAATCCACTCCAGTGGTGTCTTCAGTAAATTTGTAAATGGAGTTAGAGCTGAATTTAGCCACATAGTCATGAGTGTGTAAGGAGTATAGTAAGAGTCTGAGTACATAGCCTTGGAGGGCACCGGTGTTGAGGATTATTGTGGAGATGGTGATGTCACCTATCCTTACTGAATGCGGTCTGCGGGTCAGGAATTTGAGGATCCAGTTGCACAGGGTGAAGCACAGTGCTAGGTCTTGGAGTTTGGCGATTGGTTTGGTTGGAATTATGGAGCTAAGGTCAATACATAGGAGTCTGATGTAGGTATCCTTGTTAACCAGATGTTTCAGGGATGAGTGTAGGGCCAGGGAAATGGCATCTGCCATGGTCCCAAGAGCTATCCAGTTAATCCCACTCCCTTTCCACATTGCCGATTGGAAGTTATAATTGAGTCAATTTCCTCCATCCTTTCAGGGAGTATATTCCAGATCACAACTCATTGTGTTAAAAAGAACCTCCTCTTCCTCTGGAGTTTTTGCCAGATTATGGCGGTGAACTTCAGCTCTATGGAAACCTGCATTTGACATAGCTATACTTTCTTAAGTTCCAAAACCTCATTCATTTTGACATATTACCTGTAATGATCTAAGCAAGACCAAAGTTTTGGACAACAGAGTCATAGAGCCGAAACGGACCCCTTGGTCCAACTCAACCATGCTGACCAGGTTTCCCATTTGCCTGCGTGTCGCCCATATCCCTCTAAACTTTTCTTGTTCATGTACCTGTCCAAATGTCTTAAAATGTTGTATCTGTACCTGCATCTACCACTTCCTCTGGAAGTTTATTCCACATGCATGTGTGAACAAGGTGCCCGTCAGGTCCCTTTTAAATTATTCCTCTCACCTTAAACCTATGCCCTCTAGTTTTGAACCTCCCTAGTCTAGGGAAAATACCTTTGCTATTCTCCTTATCTATACCTCGCATGATTTTGTAAACCTCTAAAAAGTCAGCCCTCAATCGCTATGCTCCAGGGAAAGAAGTCCCAACCTATCCAGAGTCTCCCTATAACTCAAACTCCGCAGTCCCAGCAACATCCTTGCAAATCTTTTCTGAATTCTCTCCAACTTAATAGTATCCTTCCTAAAACAAGTTAAGGATCAGTGCTCAAAATACCCAGGGTTGGTGAGTAGGTTCACCCCAAAAAGCCTTTAAAACATGTAGAGCAATTCAGTTGTTGGGGTAATCAATGGGAGAAATGTTGCTACCCCACACCCCGCAAATAGAATGGACAGAATCTCCGATGAGCTGCTCCTCTAATCACATACTGGTTCTCTCCCATACTGCCTCAGATTGGCTCCATAATGAATGTGGGTGAGAACCAGCATGTGATTGTAGGAGCAGCGAGCAGTTAGGAAAGTAAATGGTGTCAGTGACGCAGTCTCAAGGGGAGCCCAAGATGCCTTTTGTTATGGATTGCAGCTTTTGCCAGGGGCTGTCTGCCATGTCTATTAATGCGATGGGGGCAAAGGAACACCCTCTGGTTTCAGAACGAGGTGGCTGCAGGACAGCAGGAGAGGGGAGCGATAAAAAGGTGGAGGTGGGCTGCTGTAAGGGCAGGGAGGACAAAGGTTGCAAGTCGATGGGGAAGGAGAGTGAGGCTTCAAGGCAATATCCATGGTGTGGGTGGGTGGGGGATGGAGAGAGAGCGAGAGCGCGAGAGCAAGAGCGAGAGCGCGATAGAGAATGAACAGCTCTAAACCAGTAATACTTAGCAAATGAAGCCAGGCAATTTTGAGATTATTAAGGTCATTAATTCTTTGCAAATAAATCTTTAGTTTAAGGCTGCATAAGTTAAGGGGCTATTTTATGGATGAAAATATAGTGGATGCTATTATAATAAACATTAGGTGCATTGCTACATATCAATCGGAGACTGACATCTGAGATGCAGTAAAAAAAAAGTAACTGCCTGGTTAAAACGTTCCAACTTTGAGCATATGCATTGTGACTTGATCAGTTCACACATATTTGTAGGGTGATAGTTTACATAGGCAGAAATGTGTCTCAATTACTTTGGAAAAAACTTTTACTGTTAACTTATGCTTGTTGTCTTGACAACAGTGTCTCAACATGAGATACTGTGTCATCCAGGAAATTAATGCTTGTTTGTTGTCTTTAACGGAGCATTGATAATTATTGAGGATGTCGATTAATTCTTCTAATTCTACTTCTGCGTGAGTCTAAACATTCCAACATAAATACAGATGATATTGTTACTACGTAGACTGCATCACCTAATAAAGAAATTAGTGTTTAAAAAAGTAGCACTCAAGTTATCTAGTAACTTATTCAAGACCACTTGAAATTTTAAAAATGTTCTGAAATTAGACAATAGGTCAGTCAGGATCTGTGAAGAGAAAAGGTTTAAAAGAAAACGGCCATCAGTTCTAATGAAGGCCACACGCTTGAAACATTACAACCATTATAACAAGAACAGCTTCTTCCCCACTGTTATTAGACTTCTGAATGGGCCTCTCAAATTTCAAATCTAATGTTGATATTACTTTTTGTGCACCTTCTTTGCAGCAGTAACTCTGTTCTCCTCGTTCTGCTCAATCACCCTAAGATCTTTGCATGTTATGATCTGCCTGTACTGCATGCAAAACAAAACTTTTCACTGTACTTAAGTACATGTGACAATAATAAATCAAATCACTTCTTTATCGATGATATCTAGTCATATACATCCACCACATGCACATTTTCTTTTTGTTAAGTTATATTTTCGTACAACTTGTGTTTGGATTCGCATTCAAAGGGTTATGTTCACCTTTGTGTGTCAAATGCAAGTAGGAGAATATTGCAAATATTTAGAATCATCTCCAATATTTAGTCATCCTGTTTTAACTTTTACCTTTAAATATTTCAAATCTCCATTCAGTTGATCGTCATCTCGGGAGACTCCATATTTCCGATGATTCTGATAGAAGTTCACTAATTCATAATACATGAAAACAGGACCCTAAAGAGAAAAACGACATGTGTCACTTGTACCTACTCTTGCACAAACCTTCCATATTGGGATGGCATCCTGTTGTTAAGGAAATGTCAACAACCTCAGCAATCAGGAGTGATAATATCAATTACAGGTAGAAGATCACCATGCTTGAATTGTAGTGTTCTTCCAGTTTGTAGCGAACCCCTGGTACCCTCTCTACAGACAAGTTTGATCCTGGCCAGATGATCCATCTATATAACACAGACTTTTACAATGGAGTTACTGGACAGTCCAAGTCATCAGCAATGTCCATCACAGGCTGAACATGTTATCCATTGTAAACGGTGCAAAGAACTCTCTATGTAAAGTAAATACCATATTAACATCATTTCCATTAGATATACTTATCTAACGACATTTGGCTTTGCCTAACTGACATTTCCTTTGGGAAGTTCAGACTGGGGGTCCACATTAGGCTATCAATACTTCCAGGTCTGCAGAATACAGAAACCATGGAAAACTACTGCTCCAAATTTTAAATCACAGAACCTTCTCGGCACTTGGTTGAAGTGACCTTTCCTGACAGCTTGTCTGTGCAGGTCCCCTAATTCAGGCTGCCAAATGACAAACACCGTTATGTTGTGAGATTTTCCCCCCACAGGAGATGCATCCCAAACTCCTTTCACTTCAGCAACATTGCACCCAGGAGAGGAGACTTTCTCCATTGATGTGAAGTGCAGGCTTCCTGCATGTGTTTGAATATGGAATATCTACCTGACACAAATCGTGAAGTATTAATGATTTCTAATAATTTCAGTTCTTTAAAAATTTTACACTCATTTAGTGGATCATTGAAGAGGAAAGATGGATACGAAATTCCATCATTAATGTGGATTGGCCATGCTAAAAATTGCCCTGTATTGTCCAGGCACGTGCAGGTTAGGTGGGTTAGCCATGGTAAAAATCCCTTGCAGGGTTACGGTGTTGGTTGGGGGTGGCAGGGGAGGAGGATGTGGGTGGGAAGCTCTTTGGAGGGTGGGTGGACACTTAATGGGCAAAATGGCCTCTTTCTGCACTGTAGAGATTTAACGATTCTATGTGCTTTGAGACAGATGAAATATGAATGGCAAGTTATGCTGTTTGTTAAAAATAAATGGAAATTAGATCATTTACCCTTTCATCATCGGATTTTCCTCATCTGGGCAATGGCCAATCTTACTCTATAGTCCCAAACGCTTCAAAAAAAGTCCTGATACATCACCAAAGACTTTGTTCAACAACAGTGAAATTCAGTATGGGGGGTGGGGGAGGATAGAACAATAAATCAGAGAGAGAGGCCATTCAGCTGAGCACCAGTTCTTTTCATGCAGCAATCCAGGTAGTCCCACTCGCCTGCTCTATCCTTGCAATACTGCAATTTTTACACTAAGGCTTGCTTTTTAATTCATTCACAGGATGTGGTCATTGCGGTCTAGGCCAGCATTTATTGCCCATCCCTCAACCACATTGCTGGAGTCACATGTAGGCCAGAATAGGTAAGGATTTTTTCTTTTGATGTCAGCATTGCCCTCAACAGGCTTTGCTTATAAATATTCAGTTGGCCACATGGGGCGTTTTCCTGGTGGTGGAGTAAACAAATAGATTTCTTTCCCTAAAGGACATTAGTGAACACCAGATGGGTTTTGCTGACAATTCACAATGCTTTCTCGATCATCGTCACACTCTTAGTTCCGGATTTTTGTTATTGAATTCAAATTCCATCACCTGCCATTTACGACAAGAGATAGGAACAGGAGTAAGCCACTCCAGCCTGCCCCACCTTTCCTTAGCATCATGGTTGATTTAACATTTCTAATCCACTTTCCTGCTTTTTCCCCATAACCCTTGATATCCTTGTCTGATCAAGAATCTATCACAGTCTTAAATATACACAAGGACTCTGCCCCCACAGCTCTTTGTGGCAAGGTGTTCCAAAGACTCTCAATGTTCAAAGAAGAAATTCCTCCTCATCTCAGTTTTAAATTAGTGCCCCTTTATTTTGAGGCTATGCCCTCTATCCTAGACTCTCCCATGAGGGGAAACACCCTCTCAGCATTTATCCTGTGAAGGCTGTTAAGATTCCTATCTGTTTCAATGAGATCACCTCTCATTCTTCTTAACTCCAGTGAGTAGAGTCCCAACCTGTTTAGCCTTTGCTCATAAGACAATCCTACCATACCGGGAATCATCCTTGTGAACCTTCTCTGAACTGCCTCCAATGAAATTATATCTTTCCTTAAATAATGGCACCAAAACTGCTCACAGTACTCCAGATGTTGTCTCACCAAGGCCTTGTACATTTAAGTATTTGTGAAGATCTTTTAACTGTTTGAATGGTGGTTGACAAATTAAAACTTATAATTGAGCCACATCTTGTGTCTACGTATGCTGTTTCTGGCTTGAGATCCTGGCTAATTTTCTCAAAGCACAGAATCCAACTGTAACACCTCTAACACCACCCAGTTTTAATCAGCTAGCTCAGGATCAAAGTGTTAATTGCATAAATTAAGGGCATAGAATTGTGAGCTTCTTCACACTAACACAGCAAGTGCGGTAAGGAGCTAACTAAACTCTTGTAATCTCTCTTGAATAAATCAAAACTGAGGAAAGATTGATTAGCAGTCTCCTCCATCAAATGGCTGTTTCAAGTGTCCATCTTGAAACTCTTCTTGGTTTGTATGATGTGCAGTGGCTTTCAAATAGTTTGTATTACAATTATTGCATTATGATGGTGTAGTGGTAGTGTCCCTACCTCTGAGATGGAAGCTCTGGATTCAAGTCCCACCTGATGGCCATGTGAGGTACATTATAACATGGCTGAACAGGTTCTTTATCAAGCTGTATATCCTACCGATATGCCAATGGTGGTATAAGTGGGAAAGTCGCCTGGTCAGCCAGATCTGTGTGGGAGCTTGCAGCACAACAGCTGCCCCACGGTAAAAGACCCAAGTGTAGGTTTTTGCTACAGGTGAGCATCATCTACACTTTGAGAGACTATGGCGCACGTGTTCTAATTATATCTGTACTTAAGCCTTCCAAGCTTCAATGATGGTTTGATTTTGATAAAGAACATTGAAAGGAATTCTATATGAAACAATGACTTTTTTGAAAATACTATAAATTCAGAGATACTCTAAAACAAAATAAAGGTAAAATTGTTACATCTGAACCAAGTACTGAACTATTGGTTAGGCATGAACTACTTGTTAGGCAGAACTTGTAATATTCTTACCGGCAACATCTTGTCCACCTTGAATTCAATGGTGCACTTGCAATCCTTGGTACCATTCTTGGTGCAATGGTGGCATGAACTATTTGGGCTTTTGCCCGTATATTCAAGCTGGTAAAAAAAGAATCTGATGTAAAACAAACTTTCAGAGCACATGCAAACAATTCATGCAAACTGTGACTAGCTGTTTGACTATGCAGAATGATGTGTGTGTGTTAAAAACATCTACTTGGTTTTCTACATAAAGAGCTTTAGTTTTCTCTCCCATCATAAATGTGAAAGAAAGTTTCAATAATCCCTGTATAGGCTTCATGTCAGCTATCATTCTGTGGTCTCTCTAAACCAACAGCTTTGAGAGAAATCATCCTCTGCACCTGTTAGTGCTCCTCCTGCGAACAAAGATTTTACTGTCTGGTAACTCCAACAATTTTCCATTTTCAGCACCAAGTTTTTGTATCGAAGATCCCAATCTAGGTGCAACAACCTATATTTGCATAGTCACTTAATGTAAAACAACATCCAAAGAAACTTAATACGCTGATGGCTAAACACAGACCATGAGGGAATTTTTCTAGCGAGTCTCCTAGTTATTGATCTCTTAACTAAAGGGAATAGATGCCTCCTATCCACTTTATCCTGGCCCCTCAATTTGATTAAATCTCCTCTCAGCCTCTTCTGTTCCAAAGACAACACCAGCCTATTCAATCTTCCTTCACAAATAAAATTCTTCATTTCTGCCAACATCCTCAATCTTCTCTATAAACTGTTTAATATGAAAATATTCTCTCTGTAATATAGCGATAAGTGTACATATACACTAGCCATGGCCTAACTAGTGTTTAATACAGCCCCAGGAGAAACTCCCAACTTTAGATTCTGTGCTTTAGCTAATACAGCAATGTACACAGATGCCTTTTACCACTGTACTGTATTGTGATGCTATTTTCTCTGGATGTGCAATCCAAGGCCCCTCTGTTCTCAATATCAGAGAATTTACTGTGCATTGCCTTGCCCCATTTGCTTTCCCCGAATGCATTGCTTACACTTTATGGAACAGAATTCCATTTGCCATTTTCTTGTTCAACTGATCAATCCAGACTGAGCTAGTTCTTCCTGTGGTCCAATTTCCCTTCTCTACAAAAATGCACAATTTTTCAGATCATCTTTAAAGTACTTATCATGTTCCCTACTGTCAAGTCTAAATTGTTGATTAAATACCAAGAAAATCAATATCGACCCCAACTCTCTTTGGGTCTCCACTAGATTTTCGCCATTTCAAGTGTAACCTGTCTAGCCTTATAGCTCCAAAGTGGATATGCACATTGAAATCAACTTGCCAGAGTTTTGTGCACTCACTGAAATCAGTACCTTTAATTTTATGCTTCCATCTACAGTTTACAATGCTGACTATATTCACTTAAATTGATAAATTTGAAAATTAGCTTTTTATTCCAGCACTTAAGTCACTATTCAATTATTAAATTGTTAAATTATTAAACTGCTAACATGGATTCTCATGGGACTTCACTAGTTACATTTTGCCAATCGTTGTTATCCCCGCTTTCTGTCTCCTGCTGTTTGCTAAAATTAACCTTTAATTTCAGAGGCTTTAACTTTAGCTTAAAATCTTTTATTGAATACCTCCTTGAAGTCTGACTAAACAACATCCAAAGGCATTCTCAATAACGTTTATAAAATTTCAATCAGGTCAGTCAGGAATGGCATATCTCAAAGATTCTCATTGATTAACTGTAAAGTTTTAAGATATTCACATACTTTATCCCTTAAATATTCACTCCCATCACTATTGTGCACTGGCAGCAGTGTACATGATCTACAACAGGGCTTCCCAAACTGGGTTACAACCCCAGTGGGTTGCCAGCTGTCTTGGGGTTGCAAGTTCTGTGACAGGAATAGCACCAATCAGCTGTGTGCCCCGTTTAAGTCCTTGTATGTTTTTAATAGTGGATGTGGTCTAATTTGCCAATCCTGTGAAAAAGTAGGTGCTTTCTAATGTAAATCTGTGAATTCCACTGTCATAGGTCCCTCACCAAGAAGCCCCATCCCCTTCAACCGCTACAGGTCTGGAGTCACAGCAATTTTCAAACACAAAAAGGATATCACAACAGGGAAGTTTGGGAAGTGTGATCCACAAAATACATTGCAGCAACTCACCAAGGCTCCCTCAACAGGATGTTCCAAGTTGGCGAACTCTACCATCTGGAAGGGCAAGGGTAGCAGACGCATGAGAGCATCAAAATCTACAGGCTCCCCTCCAAACCAAATACTATCTTGAATTGGAACTATATTGCTGTTCCTTGACTGTCACTGGGACTGTCACTGGGTCAAAATCCTGGAACTACTTTCCTAGTAGCACTCTCAGTGTCCCAACATCACAAGGACTGCAGCAGTTCAAGGCAGCACTTCATCGTCACTTTCTGAAAGATTGTTAAGGATTACATTATCATTGAGTCTAGTCAACTCCTGAAACAAATGTTAAGCTAACTGGTCTGTAATTCTCTGGTGATCTCATCTTATCACTCTTAAAATGGCATAATAACATATATTACGATCCGATCTCATGTTAAATTCTGAACCAACATCCAAAAACTTTGCAGATATTTTAACTACAATCTTCCAATGTTCTCATTTACTTCATTTAGCATGCTGGGATGGAAACTATCGGATCCTGGAGTCTTGTCCATCTTATGTCATTATTGTCCTTTGGTTGTTGCAATATGCAGAGTACTGAGCACACTGAACCAATCTGTGCCTGTAAAGCTCAGAACATAGATGTGACATGTGTTATAAAGCAGAGGTTGGCCCCCTCTGAGAACCAACACCAAGTCACCCAAAAAGAGGAGCACCTCACCATAAAATCTGTTAAAAGGTACGTGAGAAGGCTTAGAGAATTCCATGAGACCCAGTGTTTCTCTCTTTAGAGCTGATGGCTGTTAACTCTGGCACATAGCAGTTCGCCCTTCTGTCTTTGTCCAACTGCCCTCTTCTTTTATACCCTTAATGACATATCAATTTCTTACAATAGGCTTAGTCCTATGTTGTCAAAACCATCAGATTTAAATTTGATTGGTTTTTTGGTATCTAAATGCTTGGTTCAAATTAATTGGCTGAATTCAAAGTTGTTGCTTTGATAACAAAACAAAACTCCTGCTTGGCCTGCTAACCACATTGCCCTTTGATACAAATGTTTCAATTCAGGTGCTCTGTGCATCTGCAAATCCACAAGCTGCTGCCCACAGACATCCTTTTTGAATGTCTAAGCATAGAAAAAGCACAATCTTTTAAAGGGACCGCACACTGCTTTCCCCCTGACCATTTTACAAATACCAATATTTTATAAACATCAAATTCTAATATCCTGCCTTCCAGTACACAAATACTCTATCCAACTTCGCAACACATGTGATTCCATGTTTGGATAGCACTTGTCAAACAATCCCAAGTGTACCATAAATTACATTAACATCTGATTTAAGCTCAGGTGTGCAATGTGTCTCAGTTACACTGAATAAAAGTTACACATTTATAGATATAGA